TAAAACAAAATGAGACTAAAAGGGGACACCAGTCAAGGGGCAAGGACGAGAATGTAGGAAGGAACAGGAAAGCTGGACCAATGGAGATGGGGAACCCAAAGGTCAAGAAGGGGAAAGTGTTGACGTGTTGTGGGGTTGGCAGCCAATGTCACAAAACAATATGTGTATTAATTGTTTAATGAGAAACTAATTTGCTCTGTAAACCTTCATCTAAAGCACAATAATAAAATGATGGCATACTATTAAAAAAAAAGAATAAGTAAGGGAGATGGTGCCTTCTACCGTTACTGAACGTTTTGATCAAGGACTCGGTAGATGAGTCCTGATCAAAAGGGGGGAAAATGTGGGACTGGATTTCAAATTTATTGTAGAATCTAGGGTTACCGGATCCATTGAGGCTGACGGAACCCCCATGTCTTGCCCTGAGAAAATTTTTGAACCTTGAACCAAAACTGTGCCCTGAAGTCATCTTCAAACTAAACAGCAGCTTAGCTGAATTCGTAAAGTATGTTCACCTTGAGCATTGTGCTCTTTTAAAGAATTATCTATATCAGATCAAACTGACAACAGTAACTCTAAAGCATAGATGAGTAGTTTATGGGGCAGTGAGTCTAAGTCAATGGTGGTAAAGTAATATGGAGAGAGACAGCGTGCAAGGTGAAGAATGTAATCATTGTCATTGAACTGTACATGTAGAAATTGTTGAACGGGTGTATGATTGACTGTGTATATTTTCACCAAAAGTAAAATTCAGAGAGTAAATGAAAACTAAGAGTAAGGAAATCAGACATAATTATTCACAAACAGTATGATTACAAGGATATAGACAAAATGCTAAGAAAATGAAAGAAGGGCAGGTTTAGTTTTGCGAGGTCAGAGTGTCGAGGAGGCCTTCACAGTGGTCCGTGTCTGCGCTGAACCTTAGTAGGAACGGATGGTGAGCACTTGCCTTGCAGGAAGTGCATTCCAGGCCAGGAGAAGGGCATGAATGTAATCACAGAGGTGTGGAAGAAGTGGTGTGTTTGAGCAACTCACAGGGGTCCAGCAAGGCCAGAAGATGAGGTAGGCTGAGATGTGGTGTGGTCCTTAAATAACCGTGGTAGAAGGATGGGTTTTATTCTGCGGTCAGAATCAAAGATGGGAGATTGAAGCCATCACTGGAGTAATGTCTTGAAAAGAAGAAATTTTATTAAAGAAGCACCAATATTTTAATACATTTTAGGGGCAGTACGAATAGGAATAATTGACGGAGAATGTGTTGTCAACCCTACACGGAAAGAAATGTCTTCCAGTACTTTAAACTTAGTGGTTGCTGGAGCCCCTAGAAGTCAGATTGGTGAGTTGTTTAAGGACTACATGTATCCTGGATTCTGCTTACAAGTTCTGGCTTTTTAAAAATGCATTTAAACTCTTTTATGTGTGTGTTTTGTCCATCGCATAAAGATTTGTTTTATCTCTGCCCCATCTCAGCAGTGTGCTTGCTTCATACCAAATAACACTTAAACGACGCTTAAGTAGGCACGTGGCTGTTCAGCCTTCCAGAAGCGCAGGCCGCAGCTGAATAGCAGATGTTGGTTAGATACTGTGAAAAAAGCCCAACTACAGAGCTTCCCTGCTTTACACGGGAGTTTTGCTTTTATAAAAGCAGAAGCAAGCTTTTTTATGATGGTAGCTGGGGTCCCCTAGTTGGCTTACTTGAAAAAGGATCACTGCAAAGATTTCCAGATCTGTGCTAGAATAAAATAAAGTGACAGTGAGTCAGAATTAAGTGAGAGGTCAAATCAAATAATTGTTAAACAAGAAACATTTATTGGACACCTACTGTGTGGGATAGTTCTAAATTTCATCTTAAATACATATTAAAAATAAGTGTGGTTGTACATCTTAAAGGGTGAATTTTATGGTATGTGAATAATACCTCAAAGCTGTTAAAAAAAATGTAAGTGTATGCGTGGTTTCTTAATTTTCTTTTTTTTAAAATGGGAAATGCCTCATTGAATATGAGACTGTAAACCTAAATTTAAATATCAGGTTCCTGTATTCATTCACCGCTGTTTGTAGTTTGGAAGTATATCGATTCTGAGGTGAGAGACCAAAAGATGATTATACCATTAAGAAATAAAATTAATCAGCAGTATTTGTGTCATGTCACGGTGTTTGAAAATGCTGTGGTGGTAAAAGGTTCAGTGACTCGTAGCAATTGTCCTCTTTTTCTCCCCCTTCAATAGTCATGTTGGAAGCCTCTGCAGAGAACGTTTTACAGCAGGACTTCTGCCATGCCGTCAAAGTGGGAGTCAAGTATACCCAGCAGATAATTCAGGGCATACAGCAGCTGGTAAAGGAAATCGGGGTTACCAAGAGAACACCTCAGAAGTTATTCACTCCTTCGCCAGAGATTGTGAAACACACCCATAAGTAAGACTGTCTGTTCGTACATAGAAAGTATGCAATTGTCACCAGATTTAATTTCCTTGCAGGCATCTTTGTTCATGCATTACTTCGTAAATAGCACTTATCTATCTTAAGAGTCATTTCCACAAACACCAGCACTAATGCTTCAACAAGGATGAGCCCACAGCCCTCTTCCAGCTCCCTTGCCCTAAGTTTGAATCACAAATAAAAGATCCATATAATCCCTATGTATCTCTCTTATCAGGGAAAAGAGAATACAGCATAAGATATTTGAATATCTGAGGAGGCTGTTGAACTTCTGAAAAGAAATCACGTATAACCACCAACCCCTGCATGCCCAGTACTTAGAACAGTGCCTCATACACTCAATCAGTATGAATGAATCACCAGAAAACTATTTCATATTATTTGAAATAAGCTGAAAAGTTAATATTTTTCCTTAGTCTCTTGGCAATCAGTCAGAATTAAAAGGTTTGTATAAATTGTGCCCAGTGATCAAAAGAGTTTCCGGCAATAACTGAGCACAAATGGATAGAACAGAAGAAAGCAAGAGTAAAAAGTGTGTGTGTGTGTGTGTGTGTAACAAAAGTCTAAAGTGGAAATTACTGAACAGTTAAAGGCAAGAAGGAGGGAGGGCATAGTACAGTGTGTGTTATTCTTTTTGAGAGGTGGAGAAGCACTCTAAAAGCAGGTTCAGAGATGAGCTTCACAGAGTTATACATAAATTTGAATAAGAACCTGTTTGTAATAGTCTGTTAAGTCTCCCAAATTTGTGCCTTAATAGAAAACCAAACCCACTGCCGTAGAGT